GGAATGATTTTTTTCCCTTCAGAAGTCTTAGATCTGATCCAGGGGTCCCTCCTTGTGCGCTCTAAGATGGGCAAATTATCCCCCCCGGTTCTCACAAAGCGAACAGAGGAAGAAACGCCTGCCCGCCCCTGCACTTGGCGAAAAGCGTTCTGAGTTTCAGCAGAGGAAAGGCGGAATCTGTAACCAGCCAACGCGGCCCTAGAGCCGGCCAGTTCTTCGGGCCGCCGTCTGGAGCTGCAGGCCGCCGCCACGGGCCAGCCAACCCTCTGCGCGGGCCCTGCGGCTCCAAGGCCCCGCCGTTTCAGTGGGGCCCCGTCCTTCTCCTTTGCAGATCTCTCAGTTAAGGAAATGCCAGGGCTGTTACCCCGATCGTGATCTCAGAATCACCAGTACCTCTTTGATTCAATCAGAGCCGACTGATTTTTTTAAAAAAACAGCCATTCTTGGCAAACGGCGGCAGACTTTAATTCTTCCGGCTGGTGCCTGCTTGGTCATTAAATTATAAAGGGTTGGGGAAGGGCTGCAAGTCAGCCCTGGCGAGGCTCGCCCAGGGAGCCCCTCCTGCAAATTCCTGGTGTTTTTTTCCCAAGCAAACATTTCCCTTTCTTTCGCTTTGTTCCCAAGTGCATTACTTACGGGAATTATTTAATTTGTATTTTTTTGTAAAGGAACGTGTCTTTGTGCTTCTGTTTCCCTTGTACATAAACCCTAACACTCGTCGTTCCCTTCTCCCGTCATACGTTCTGCCGTGATTTAATCCCGTGTCTGCCCAAGCCTCCCACGGTACTAGATTTTCTTCATTCCGTTCACGTTGTTTTATTTCTAACATGCTGCTTTAAAGGACAGGAAAAGAAAAAACTAACTTTGCTGCTCGAAGGTTGCTTGAATGTATCCGAAACAGGACCTCAGTTCACCCAGGGATCCCAGTAACCCACCGCGTCTCCTTTCATTCCCCCCTCCCCATCCGTGGCAGCACCTTTGATTTTCCAAAGCGTCAGGAATGTATTTAACGCCGTGCTTCCTCGCTCAGATTGAAACGTTCGCCCCCGGGAGGCGGGGGGATAGGAGCAAAAATGTCCGGTTTTGGTTCAGAAGGCCACTTTGGGGTGGGGCCGCTCCTACTCCATCCAGGCGCCCTCGAAGGAGCCTGCTGCTTCAGACGGGCCAACGGCGAAGGGCGGACTTGGAAGCTTAGCAGGAGAACGGATGCAAGGCCAGGCCGATCCCAAATTCTGCCTTATTTATTGACCCGAACCCTGCGCGCTTTGCAGTGGCCTCTCTCGCTCACGTCGTACGTTCGTAGCGGACGTTTTTTTTTTTTTAACCCCGGCCCTGCCACTCCACCGCGCCTTTGCTGCACAACTGAAGTGGCCTTTTGCAACCAATCGGTTTCATCGGAAGTTTGATCTCCTCCTTCCCGGTGGAAGGACTCCATTCAGAACACTGTACATGATTAATTTCTGCCTTCTTGGACGCCCTGCTCTGCCCCGCCCTGCCCTGCCCGCCCGCGCCCCGGCAACCCATGTTTTATTTTGTAAATATAACTGATGTTTGGAGCTTGGGTATACAAACTGTAAATATACTTCATGTATTTGTACTAACTTGGAACCATGTTACTGTATAGCCTTTAGGTGTGCAATGCAGATACTCTTATCTAACTCCGTGTATGGTAACTTTGCACCACTGAGCTGTTAGTGAACGAGGTGGAAAACAATAAAGATTCAACTAGTGTATTACCAAGGCGTGGTTTCATTTTGCACTGCGGTGCCCGCTTACAAAGACCCCCTTCCTGCCACCCCGTTGAGTACAGTCCCTTTAGGGTCTTTCCCCGTTGCCACCCTACTCAGTCCTGTTCCTGAGGGGGACAGGCGTAAATGGCTTTTAGCTGGGGTGCTGCGAAAGGGGTCCTCCCCGCTTCTTGTGGGGGGTGTCTGGGCTGTGTCACTCCTCACCTTGGCAAGAGCGGGCAGCACATCTGGCTTTTGCCAGCTGAGGGATGAATCCAACCCTACGGAGCCCCCAGGTGACAGAACGCAGAGAGGAAGAAGGAACGGGGCAGGGAGAGGAAAACAAACGCAGAATCCAATTACAGTATGTTGGTATGACGTTTATGCTGCCAGCCTTCGATGCCCACCAGCCCCGAATGCGCATGCCCGCTGCCCGGCGAGAAAAGCGCCCCCTCCTCCTGCCAAGGATCTCCGCAGCCGGCTGCCTTTTCGGCTGGCCCGCGGGGGGCATTTGGCCCCCCGAATTGTGTTGGAAAATGAG